GAACAAGTGAACTGACAAGGAGAGTGATTTCAGGGAGTACCAATGCTGGTAGTAGCACTATTCCCAAACCCACCGAAATCAATACAGTCGCCACAGCCGACCCTTTTGCCAATCCAAGCCTACAAACAGCCGGCCCAGCCCGGGTTCAGGGCAGAACTTTCACCCCCCTCTATATGAGCCTGACTAGCGCACTAAAAGTCCTAATGGAAAGAGGGCATCTCAAACCCCTCGATCATCAACCTCTTCCTAACCCACTCGCAGCCAGACATAACCCCTCCAAGTACTATGTGTACCATCAGCAGCGCGGTCATGGCACCGACCGTTGCTACTGCCTTTGTCATGAGGTCTAAAATCTCATCGACAACCGGACGATAGCTCCACCTTCAGACCCCAATGACCAAGTACCTCATCCACATCTCAATCTAATCCACACACTGGCCGTCCCTTACGACCCCAGCGTATACATCACCCCAGCCCATCTATCTAAGCCTAATGTGTTTATCCCAGAGAGCCTGGACTTATGCATGATGAGTGCATCTGAACCCCAATTATCTCAAACCCATGAACCCACTACTTCTGAGCTGATGAGGATGATCGAAGATCTTCAGAGAACTGTGGCAGATCTGGCCTTTGGAGTTTTGGCTCCGTCATCAACCGCATCACATACCAAGGAGTTCATGTCAAAAGGCTCCTCAGGACGGACTGCATTGGGAGAAGGCCAATCTTTTAGCAAAGTGGAGGCCAGTGATAAGAACAAGGCAGGGGCAAGCGTTAGTCCCCATGAACACCTTCAGTGGGATATTGTGGCTTTGAAAGCCGAAGGGCTGAACAAACAGCAAGTACTCGCAGTTATTGCAAAAACTGTGGACGACATTTTCGCCACTCAGAATGAGAGTAGTCTAAATCAAGGGGCAAGCCGGGAGAAGGGTCGTTGCACCAGGAATGTCCCTTTCAGCTCTAATCTCGTGCTCGGAAGAGATCAGCAAACCCAGTCAGCGCCTGTCAATCCCTTTGCTGGCACGTCCAGCGAAACTCCACAAACCTCAAAACATCCACCTCGGAGCCAGAGGGTGTTCACGCCACTGTACATGTCTCTATCAGCGGCCTTGAGGGTCTTAATTAGAAAGGGGGATCTGAAACCCTTGGAGCCGCGACCACTGCCAGATAGACTTCCTCACTCCCATGATCCGGCCAAGTACTGTGCCTTTCATCAGTAAGTCGGCCATGTCACTGATAATTGTTTCTGTCTTCGCCACGAAATACAAGATCTGATTGACAATAAGGTCATCGTCGCACCAACTCAGCAAAGTCTATCGTCATCGGATCAGTGAACTTGGGAGATAATGTGAATATGTGATCGGGGGATGAACCACCTGCGAGCAGCGCTCAGTTTACTCCAGATGTGACGTATGGCATGCACTGTTTCGAGCATTTGTGAATGCTAATTTTTGTACTTTCTGACTTGGGTATTGGGTCAGTCTGTTGTTTTGTATATAGTCAGTTTTTTTGTACTGAGTCAGTTGGGTCTGTCTTGTTGTATCGAGTCAGTCCTGTTTTGTTAGAGTCGGGTGATTTCGGGGGTGTTACCTCGGACATCACTTTCTTGTTTTGTGTGTGTCTTTTTATTTTCTTTTGAGTCTGTTTCTGCCTTGGAGCCAGTAATGCCAGCAGATCTGAAATGAAACAGCAGTAATTTTCGCACTCTTGTGTTTGCTTCTGCCGTGTGCCAGTTGTGCCAGAAATTCTAAATGAGATGGCAGTATTTGACTAGAAGCTGTGCCTTTTCTGTGCCTTGAATTCATTGCATCGACCTAAGTTTTCCAAAACTTTTTTCGAAACATTGTGACAAAAAACGAAGAGGAAGGAATTCCTCGGGCTTTGCAAAAATTTGATCAATTGAGAGAAAGAGAGGCATGCTAAGCCCTTAATGATTGAGATCATGCTTGTTAATGTGAGTATTGGGAAGGATCCTGGCCTAATCCAGATTGGTTCTACACTGTCTTCAGCGCGAGCGATTAGTCGCTTTCTTAAAAGATTTCAAAAAATGTTTTGCGTTGTCCTGCGAAGACCTGTGTGGAATCACTCTTGAGATTGTGCAGCCTAGGATCGCTCTCAGCCTCAAGACTCGACCCCTCATTGTCAAACCTTGGACTTAAATTCAGAATGTTCAATGGTCAACTACAACGTGAGGCTTGTGTGGTCAGATTCAAAGCAGCCCTCGAACAAGAGGCAAGAAAGTCAGATCAAGAAGGTCAGATGTCATCAAAAGAAGCTTGCAAAACTAGATCAGAAGCACCCCTGGAACTAGGGGAAAAGAATTTCAAATGTGCTCGAAGAGCCGAAGATGGATCATTCCACAAATCAAAGAAGGTCGGCCAGAATGCCAAATCCTAGAACGGAGGAAAGAAGACAGTTTCTACTGAAAAACAACTGAGTTCCTATCCGCACCACTAGGGGCAAAATTAGCCCCTGATTGGATGGACTCCTGCATCGTCAGCGAACAACAGTCATTCTCCTGGATTCAGATGGCTTCAGGATCCTAAAACTATTTGACATGGACAAAGCTACACTTTTACCCTTGAGAGGCTCGCTGGGTCGAAAACCCGGAAGGGCGACCCAGGCAAAAGTTAGAGGAAAAAAAAAAAAAAAAGGGAAAAGAACAAAAAAGAAGAAGAAGAAAAATGCAAAGAACAAAAAAGAAATGAAGAAAAGATGAAAAAAAAAAGAAAAGAAAAAAAGAAAGAAAAGAAAAGATGAAAAAAATGAAAAGAATTGAAAAGAAAAGAAAAACAGAGCTCGCAAAGTTGAAAACCCGGAAGGGCGGCCTTGGCAAAAGTTAGAGCGCAAAAGGAGAGGTTAAATACCCGAGTATACCTTAACCCCGAACTACGTAAGGCTTGATTCCCATCTTTGGGATACGTAGGCAACTTTATTCTGAAGTCCAGCCGTAAAACACTTCAAATTGATTGTGCCCATGTAATGGTTTTAATCATCTTCGGCTTCTCTGTATCCAAGAATTTGGTTGTGTTCGTCACTCTGAGGACTGACTACAATGCGCTGCGGTGCCATTCAAACAAGGGGCAACTTTCCGTTGCCATTCAATGCGCCGTGGTGCCGTTCAAACAAGGGGTAACTTTCCGTTGCCATCCAGCTCTCTTCAAGCAAGGGGCAATTTTCCTTGGGATCTGAGGTTGTGCATCTCAAGAGTAAGTTCCGTGCTCGTTGAGCAGTGGCTGTTTGCAAAAACAATTTTTGAGAGTTTTTACTGAGGTTGACTGATCTCTCGAAAATTATTCCATCTTTTCCAAAACTGGACCATTTCTTGGACCCAAAAAAGGAAAATTTTCAGTGCTCATAGCCTGACTTGCATGATTTTCAAATAAAAAATCGAACAAGAATGTTAATCTAACTCTCATGTTGGTCAAAATTGTTTTGGTAGAAAGCAAAAACGAAAAATGGTCAAAATAATGAAATAGGGGCACAGTTGAGTCAGATGTTCTGTCTTCCTCCTGTTGTCAACATACTTGCCAGAAAGGGAACTCTACTTGCCGAAAGGGCACCGTATTCGCCAGAAAAGGGCACCACTGAGGCTGACCGCAAAACGGCTGAAAGTTCTCTCATCCTCCTAGCAACGAGGTATCAAGCCAAGTGCGAAGCACGAACCGGAATGGGACAAGATATTCCACTCCTTTATCTAGACAGATCTGATCACGTCCAAACTCCCCAGCAGAGCATCGTCAACCGATGTCAGCTGCAGATTTGCTACACACCCAATTGTAGTGTAGCCCATTTGTGGAAGAAACTCACTGTTGTGAACAAGAAGAAGAATCTAGCGGAATACTAGGGGCAAGAGCCCACAACTTTCTGTTTATCCGTCAACCACCCAGGAGAGGGATTGAAAAATGAGAGATTGAAGAATAGAGAGATGTGCGATGAGAGAAAAAGTGAGAAAATGGCTTTTTCAGAAAAATAGAGATTGAGTGCCAGAGTGATGTGAGAATCACGAATAAGAAAGGATGGGAAATAATACCCAGAGAAACTGGCTCCTCGTGCACTGAGAGGTCTCTCGTCTTTGTAACACGTCTGTGTGTCGTGTCTTTTCTTTTGTTTACCTCAACTTTTGTTTTGAGTCTTTTTCGAGTGTTACTTGATGTGTTTAGGTCGTGTACCTTTTGTTGAGTCATAGTATGCTGTGTTCAGTTATAGGCTCAATACCCGATTGAGAACCCTTTTCTCATTTTTAAAAAATCGTTTTGTGCTCAGAGTGTTGTGCCATTCTGCACATTTATGCAAAACAAGATTCTTTCTTTCATAAACCGCAAGGTTCAACCCAGGTCATGTGAGAACAGTAGAACCAGGGCCTATCTGAAGCTATTTAGGTTCCGGACTGCAAAGCAAAAGAAAAGAAGGAAAATTTGGAGCATCTTAGCATGTTTCAACTTTAGCAAAATCCGAGACTGCATTCCAGGTGCACTTTCTCAGGCCTCGCCGTTTCTCTGGAGTATGAGTGCATCTCGACCCTAAGTTTAAGCCTGTTTCAAGTCAGAATGGCAGTCCAAGCAGCACCCGAGGGTTTCACATACAGATGTTATCTCTCGCCAATATAAACAGGGTGTCCCCTTTTGAGCTGAACGTATTGCCAAATCCTCCGAAAGGTAAATCGGAGGCACCAGAGTACATGTTTGATGCCTTTCTATTGCATAGAATATGCACTTTCATATACACTTCTGTTATATGCGTGTTGCGTATCATTATGATTCATGCATAGAATACGCTTGTGTAGACGCGCCCGCGTGGGGCCTTCGCTACAGTTCGGACTCGATTTTGTGTCGCGGTTCTTAATCTTGAACCAAAGAGTCCAAATCTGACAAATCATTTTGAGAAAACAGATTTTAGGAAAGAAGTGCCAAACATGGACTGCTTTGCCAGATACAGAGTCGCCACATTGTTTTTGTTTAAAAAAAACACGAAAAACGAAAGCAATAACATACAGGGCTGCAGCATTGTTCAATCAAACTAACACCAAACTTCATGTCTAATTTCAGGTTATGGGGAAAGTTGGTTTCAATTTCCCAATATTTCTCACATTAATCCACTACACTTCCGCTTGGGTTCTACTCGCCATTTTCAAAGCATTTTCATTGCTTCCAGCCTCTCCTCCTTCCAAAACTACACCATTCTCTTCTCTTTTTTCTCTGGGCGTCGTCATGGCTTTTGCCTCTGGCCTTGCCAACACTAGCCTAAAGCATAACAGGTTCAAATGCAACTCTTTGATGTCTTCCTTCTTGTTCTTTTTTTGTTGAATTCCAAACTTTATCATCAATTTCCTAACTACTCAGCTCATGTGCAGTGTTGGGTTCTACCAGATGGCTAAAATTGCTGTCACTCCAACCATTGTTCTAGCAGAGTTCATCCTATTCAGAAAAACTGTTTCTTTAAATAAGGCACGTATTCAAAAATATATTACGCTAAAGATTTTATCTTTTGTAACATCTAAGAAGGTTTTTAGGGCTCGTGACTTTCCTTCTTTTGGTTATTATTTCAAATAAATAAAAAGTGTAACACAATTTTGCAGATTCTGGCTCTTATTATTGTCTCCATAGGCGTGGCAGTGGCAACTGTGACAGATCTAGAATTCAATCTCTTTGGCGCTTGCATTGCAGTTGCTTGGATAATCCCAAGTGCAATAAATAAAATTCTCTGGTCTAATCTGCAACAACAAGGCAATTGGACCGCTCTCGCGTAAGTAAAATGTTCAAAAAAATTCTTTTCTTTTCTTTTCCCTTTTTTTTTTTTTATAATTTATTACATGAAGAACTTGATATTTGGGTGTAGGTTGATGTGGAAGACTACTCCTGTCACAATCTTCTTCTTAGTCACGCTGATTCCATGGTTAGACCCTCCTGGGGGATTGTCCTTTGAGTGGAATCTCAACAATTCATCCGCTATTCTAATATCAGCCGCTCTTGGTTTTCTCTTACAATGGTCTGGAGCTTTAGCACTTGGGTGAGATTTTTATACTCGATTCATCCATCCATTTCCACATTTCAACTGTCTTTGAGTAAGGCATTACCCGAGGTGACTAACAAGTTTTCATTCTACATTTGCAGTGCGACTTCTGCGACTTCCCATGTTGTGTTAGGGCAATTCAAGACTTGTGTGATCCTTCTTGGAGGCTACTTGCTCTTCAATTCGGATCCAGGGTTTGTGAGCATTTGTGGAGCTGTCACAGCGCTTGGTGGAATGTCAGTCTACACATCATTTAACTTGAAGCAGTCACAAGAGGCCATTGCAAACCAGCTTCCAAATCAGAATTTGTCTGCTTTGAAACCTAAAAGCGTTGAAGAAGACGAAACAAAACAGATAGACGTGAATGAAACCCCAAATGCTGTGTGAAATAAGGAAGCTTTGGCATTGCAAGTCCATACGCCCGCCTTGCAAGAGAGAGAGAGAGAGAGATCCAACATTGTTATTAATTGTAGAATTATTGTTCTAACTTGGTATTTGGGGATGGAAGCTCTGTACAAAAGTGCATTAAATTTTGCAAAGATTATTAAATTTTGCATCTCAAATACATTTTCAGCAATACAGTAGTTCCTCTCTCTCTCTCTCTGGGGTAAAGGGTTGGGGAATTGAAGATCACAGCTTCTCTCCAGTGAACTGGAGTCTAGCTGTGAGAAGAGTAGTACCACAAGTTAAAAAGCCCATTTTGCAGAATCATGTTTAGTTTCCAAAGCTCACAAATGTTAAATGGAATTTAAGCTATTTTCCTGTTTTGCAGAATCAGGTATTGTCTCCAAAGCTCACATGTTTATGGAATGAACAGTTTGAGTGATGATAAATATTATCCCACATCAATAGTTCACTATTCATCAAAAGATAATATTATGTTTAGAACTTAAATTTGTGGAGAGAATAAACAGAAAACAATACCCAAACACAGCCTAAAAGTCACATCATGTCCTGTCAATTCAAACTTATACCTGCTGCCGGCATCCAAACATTTAAATCTAGTGCCAATGAATCTAAACAACTTAATTCTAAAAAGAACTGTTTTAAAGATCAACGATGAAAATCATCAACTTCGCTTCAAACAGGACATTATCACTTACAATAGCACAAACCATTAAAAAATAAGTACTTGCACACTTGCATATCACATTCATGACTGAGTCATAGAAGCACTTTGAAGAGAAGTTTTACACAAACATGCAAAAACAGTATGGCTTCAGCTCGTAAAAAAGCCCCCATTGAATAGAATCTGATTTAGTCAACTTATAATAATTAAGCTGTAATCTTAATTCTCTTCTAGCAATTACAATAGTTTCGCTCATCATCCATTTTTGCTATCAAAATTTGATGTACAGGTGAGACAAAGAAGTAAAAGAATGGAATCGCTCACCTACTCTGGTCAATCTTTCCAAGTTCATTTGACCTCGAAAAACAGTTAACCATTCGCTACAGAAACTAATTTTGAGAACATTCCTTGTATAATCCTACCCGAGAAACATCTCTTAAATTTTCAGAGCTGCAATTCATATTTACACTCATATCAGGCCAATGCTTCATATTCTCATATAGATAATATTACCTCGATGAATACTTGTGTAATGACTACAGAATCAATAACTGGAGTTCCAATTAATTGCACACTGAGGCTGCTGATAATCCCCCAATGGAGGTCCCACTGCTTTTCATTGGATCCAGACATAGCCTTCGACTGTTGCTAAAGTGGACGAGCAGTTGAAGAAGAAGCCATTGTCTGCGCTGGATGATAAATTCCCGCAGAGGGTGCATGACCAGCCAGTAGAGGTGAGAAAGCAATATGCTGCCCCGGAGGAATGTGGTTATAGAAAGAATTGGCATGCAAACTGGGTATATCACGGCCCGGGAACCACACAAGTGGACCTTCGCCCTAAGTCCAGCAGTAAAGAAAGCAATGGTTAATTAATGTGGTCCAATACAATTTCATACTGAATGGGAATGGCAGGCCCTAATGAGGAACAGTGAAAGATGAACATACGATGGTAAAATGAGACAATAAAATGCAGTCACAGACTCATGCGTGCTACTCACAAACACATAGGATCATATTCGTGGTGGACTTGAAACAAAAAAATAATTGCATATTAGAATCAAATGCAACTCCAAAAAGGTTCTGAGAACTACTTTCATTTTCTTGGCACTGTTTTCAATTTACTCTCGTGTATAAAAAAATCACTTTTTAGATCCTTTCAGACAAGGACTTAAAAGTGAAAAGTTTTTTGGAAAAAATTACAAAAAGTTCACTAAAAATAATATATGGAATTAGAAGAAAACCTGCTGGACAGTTGTGTGCACACTGTTCTCCTTCAACTCAGATGCTGTAAGATCTTCATTACCAGCAGAACTTCCAGAATTCACAGCTAGACTAGGGTTATATGAGCCAAAGCCAGACGGAATTCCGAAATGGGTCAAATTTCCAGCATTATGTCCTGCCTTATTCTGTGGAACACTGAATTTAACCCCGGGGCCTGCTGCAGCTGCTACTATGGGTGATAGATATACATTGCCAGTTGATGGCTGTTGAGGGAACCCACTGTGGCCTAAAAATTGTGGTGCATTTGCTGCCAAATAAAATGGTGGAAAATAGGCGCCAAATGGAAAGTAGTTGACAGGATAAGGTTGCCGGAAAACGGGAAATGGTGGAGGAGATATGGGTATAGAACTCTGTCCAATTGGTTGAGTAGCAGTTGCCTTTGAATCTGATGTAGATGAAACTGACGAATTCCCACTCTACAAATGTACATAGATATGTACAGATTAGAAAATCAAAATAACAATTGACATGGAAAAGTACAGATACATAGGTAGAGAAAAACAAACATAGAAGCTTGATTAAAAAATGACATGGCAACAGTAATTAGAGTCTGGAAGGCAAGAAACAATCACATGCCTGTATCTCAGATCCCTCACATTGTACAAGCTGGCTCCCTAGCATGGGTTGAATGTAAGGAAAACCATAGCTTGGGGCAGTGTGAACAAAGGGGTACTGAGGTCCTACTTGACGCAACATATTCTCTTGCTTGGACTGCTCAAATTCCGGAGCAGTACCAGATGAAACGCTGTTTTTCACAGGTGACGAATTGTCAGGCTCATGTGGCGGAGAATGTGGATCGTTAGGATAATCTCCTTCGTGAGCAGTTGAGAATACAATTGGATTGCTGCAGCCAATTGTTGTAAATTGTCAATGCAAGATCAGAAAGTACCAGGTTCACAAAACTTACCAACAACAATGTACCTAGCTTTTTCTTTTATGGCAACAAAAAAATTGCATTGAACACGTGCTGAGGGAGCACATCACATATACAACCAAATTATTTATAAATATAAAATAAAATTTTAAAAAAAAGTACAAAAAATATACCCACCACCCCTAATATAACCCAGCAGAACATCCACTACCAACTATGAAATGCTCCTAGATCCTCCATCAGCCTCTGAAAAGCTTAATCCACAAGTGTAGGAATATGCCAAAATCAAACAGTTCAATTGAGAAACCCTAGTGGTCATCCCATGAAATATATAGCACCAATCTTTAGAAATCCAATCTATACAACCAATATGAATTTTTATTTTTATTTTTAATTTAACCATTTTAACCCATGAAAATATATATCACCAATCTTCGGAAATCAATATATGCGACCAATTTGAAAAATATATTTTTAAAATTTTAACTATTTTAAATGTGATTATAAAAAGAATAAATAAACAAAGAGAAAATAGAGCAAAGCTAGTAAGAAAAAGTCTCAATAACTTTTTCAACAAAGGAAAAACAGTGACCCGATGAATAAAATAGAATTCAAGAGACCAAAAAACAGCAATCACAATGATTTCCCTAGAGGCTAAACTGACCTGGAAAAAGTTTCCTTAGCAACCTTGTCATTCCCCTCAAACGATTCGATAGCAGGCATAGAGCTCTTCATGTCATCAGTGCCATCAACATATGCTACACTCTCTTCAAAAGTAGCATCCAAACTTCCAAAAATCAATCCATTCTTAAAATCTTCAGGAACTTGGAGGTGGTCTGGGAAAATAACAGGCTGACGAGTAGAAATATTTAACTTCTCTAGCTTCATATCAACCTTTGAAGTAGCTTCCTCCAAAAAGGAGACATCAGGAAGTGACTGAAAAACAGCTTCCACTGCCAAAGTTGGAGCTTCAGATGCAACCACTGTTTGAAAGAATAAGCACATTGATATTGTCAAAAATCAAAATGGGCAGATAGTATAGAAAGAAGCAATGCATTGTATAATATAATTCATAAAAAATTGCAAAATTATTGAAGATATATAGCCAAATACTTTTAGTTGATTTATCAGTGCACCATAAGAAGTGTAAACCATTCTTTAATTTAGCAAACTTGTTTTCCTGAGTCATATCCCAACAAGAAGCACACGGGAAGTGACATAATTACCAATATCATCTACGGTATTGAAGACTGATAAAAAAAAATTAAAAAATTAAAAAAAGCCTTTCCTATGTGAAATTCAGGAACCAAATGAAATGCATATTACTGCCATCTTCATATTGACAGCATATACGAATGAGATTTGCAAGAATCTTCTTCGTAATATCAATATATCAGGAGCTCATACATGAGAAATCAAAGCATTGAAACAAGCCAACAGCCCACCCATCCAGCTCCATAGACCAACTCTACTTCTAGCTTACCGTAGAAATGACTCCATCCAACTATATGTTTTAGACTACCACAATTTTTATGTAAAATCTGTACTAGTGGAGACAAAGGAAAATATCAAATAACATTTAACTTAAATTAATATTGAATATATAGAAACCTTTTCTTTAACAATCTAGATAAATAGAAAAGCATGATAATACATGATTCATTGCAGACCAAATAATATGATTGTTTAATACATGCAGAATCTTACAAAACATGGTTGGTTCAACAGCAAAAAACAATGGTTTAAACCAAGGCACAAACTAGTCATAAAACAAATAAAAAGCATTCAACAATGAAGAAATATAGTCATCAAAATAACAAATTATACAAAGGCTTGGGTATTTGATGTCCGCGGCACAATATATCACACAAGCAAAGGAATAAAAAGGCGTGCACAATGCGCTGTTTAAAATTACTAGAAAAACATGTAACATGTGATGATGACAGAATTGTACCTTCGGAAGGCTCCAACGGCTGATTCTTTTCAAGAATCTGGGATTCTTTTAGCTTACTCGATCTTTTCCCAGATGGGTTAAAGGCACCAGATTCTGCAGCAATTCTTTGGCTGTTTATTTCACATTTGATCGCCCCCATGCTGGGGATCTGGGAACCGAGAGGTGCCACCACCACAGGATCTGAAGTAGAGGAGTAAACACCTGACACATACAATGTTGTGCAAGCCCAGAGATGAGAACCTAATTTGACCTTTTCCCTTTTGACTCCAACTCCGGCCACAAAGGTGGAAGTGAAGTAAGGAGATTGTTTCACAGAACATGTTTGTAAATGCGGAATCAACAACTGGATTATCTTAATGAAGATTACCAATAATACCTGCAGATGATTGGGTGCCACGTTCATGACTGGAACTGCCATAAGGAACATGTGTGGGCCCATTGACTGAAATGGTAGAAGATCTGTAACATATAGACAAAATTCAGAGTGGAAGCACAATTTTTTGCAAAGAGATGAGCAAATTAGGCTAAAAAAACAAAATGCAACATATTTACTTTGTGACATGAGGGTTCGCATTATTTTTTGTTTTTTCTGGAACTGACAGGGAGGGCTTAAAACCTCTCTCCATGCTATTACTGACTCCATTTTCCTTACGAGCACTCACATTCCTTCCACCACCAGCACCTAGTAGTGATAAGACAAAAAAAATCCAATTAAATATATAATATAAGCAAAAATGAAGGGGGTGAATTGATATTTGGTGATTTACAGATCTCACAGAATACAAAGCCAAAATATTTAAGAACTTGCAGCTGAAAAACAAGTACTTGTGTCTTAGTTACAAGGACTCAAAATGAAAATTAAACGAAGCACATCAAATGCAATGTCATGAGGTTTTTGTCCTTATCTCTATTATTCTATGTGTATAAAACAGTGTCCAACTTTTGAAAGAGCAGAAAAAGAAAGAAAAAGCACTCCTCCTGAACTAAAAGTTCAACATCTGAAATTACGAGTCACATGCCTGATGGATATTTAAAGAAAAGATATCCGGTCTACATCTTGGCAACTTCTAGTTAACCAAACTGATCATTAAGTAAAACATGATTTCACGGCACGATTTCTCGTAATTCATTAAAGCCACGACACCTCTCAAAGATTACCCATTAAAAATAATTTCAAATTCATTATGAAACTACATACGAGCTATGAAGCATGGATATGGTTATTATATAATATTGATACATCAATACGACAAAACTTAAAATATGAATAAGGGTATGGCCCGAAGGCAAGAAGAAAACAATAAAGGAAAATCAGCATTTACACGTTGTGAATGGCTGCTTGGTGTTAAGATACAGAATGCCACCAGCACTACCCACTAATTAAAATTTATAATGAAACAATTATACTCTATATGGCTTTTGGAATAACCATAACCTCTTATGAACAAAAATTAAAGAACAACCACGATTGTAGATATAAAATAAATAAATGACAAGATCGTTGATATTATTAAAAGAAAGAAACATAACAAATAAAAAAGGAAAAGACTTAAGCTCAAAAAAAGTGTTTTCTATTCTTCCTTTCTTCATTCTTATCCACTTCATTCTTATTTGAGTATTTCTGTTCAGTAAGAGAGGTAATATTTAAGGTTAACCTCAGCTTCAATTTCAGATAATCTCTTCTGATGAATAGAAAGTTTGGATTCAACCTCTGCCAAAGCATGAAGTTGCCTTAATAGATCACCACCACCCCTGCAAATATTAGTTACCGATTTAGAAAGTTAGATTACCAGAAGGGGATAAAAATAATTAAAACCATCTTCTTGTGTAGAAATAATAGCAACAATGGATTTTACTTTTTAACACTTGTAAAAAACATAAATATGTGCAGGAAAAAAAATCAGAAAGTTTTCATAGTTCAATAAGCACATTCCAATACTTGTAGATAAGGTTTTGGCAAAGAGTAGTTAAGTAACAACTGACCAAAATTATAAATCATTACCATTCTCAAGAATGGGGCAAAAGCATCAAGGATATTTGCTTACTTGCAACTTTCACCAGTCAGAAGGCCACTAGGCTGAAATATATCACCCTCGAGAGTGGGGTGCCAATTTTTCTATTAAAAGTAACCTATGGACCAGTCATTAATGTGAAAATGAGATCAAGCTCAACAAGATAACAAAAAAAAAAAAAAAAAAATTTATTCAAAATACGTGGTAGTTTAGACACGTACAAGATGACAAATTAATTTGGTCCAATGCCAAAAATAAGGTTTAGCTAACACTTTTACAGATCAATAGCACAACCTTGAACCAAAGCGCATGTGTTTCTAAGATGTTTAAACAATAAATTCATTCATCAATTCTAACTTTTGAGAAAAAAATCCAACACCACATGTTCTCCGATCCTTTTTTACAGTGTTGCTTAGTGAACTACAGTACATTTAAATCAAGACGTAGAATCAATGTTGCACTCAAATATAACATGACCAGAAACATAGCAGCAAAGCAACAAAAGAAAAAATGTCATCTTCATATGGAAAATATATGTTATAATCATCTACAAAGGCACCTTAGGGAAAAAGATTACTGAAAAGGACTTACCTCCCTCGTTGCATCAATAGTTTTGCAAACAAATGTTGAACCAAATACATATTCCATAGCACGCTGCAACACACATCAACTCTCTTTAAAAACAAAATATAACTAACCCAAGCCAAAGTTCTTTTATCCAACCAAAAACAAAAACGCACGAATGCTAATAAGATTTTGCCCATCCATTGCTTATTATTCTTGGCCAGATAAACATGATTCAATGATATAAATGATATACCATTAAGAAAGGCACGTGCTAGAAACATTCCAGCGCACACAATTGCATATGGGCAAAACAACAAATGGTCTCCAGCAACACCAAACACCATCAATTCAATGAGCAACAAAAGGATAGAATAGCATAAAAAACATATGTGAATTTATACCTTCAGTTCCTGATCATATCCAACCAAAGACAGAGCCACTTCTGCATTCCCCTTGCCAACCTGAAAATGTAGGATAATAACCTTCTGACAAACACAAACAAATACGGGATATATAAAATACAAAGAAAGCCAAATACAAAGACAAACCAATCTAACAGAAGCATTTTGGGATTGAATTTGGTTTAGATGGATAACTGTGTAACTCTTCTTCGGAGATCACCATTTTGAAGAAGTTGCTTTCCAGTATTTTCTGTGTCTACTATAATATTAAACAATTTTCTCCTGCAGCATCCTAAAAATGAACTGAGTGTAAGAGTCCAGTTATGATTATGTTTAGAACATGTCAAAACTTGGCAACATATTATACCATTTCTAAAATAAACCAAGTATATGGCATCATGCAAGGCCAACCTCTAAGGCAGTCATTGTGAAGCCATCCTTCACTTTAATAAGTTTAGCAACCGCACCGTTAACCCTAGTCCTATCAAAATTCTTCATGGGATCATGGTATGTGAAATACATGCCAAAAGAATTCGAATTTCATCCATTAACTTCTGCACTAGCTCCAACTCAGCTGCACGATCCTGAAGAACAATTTAATAATTACAACTCACAATTTACAATACACAGAAGAATTTTGACCAAACTGAAAACTTATGCCATCTGAGGTAGAATTTGTAGCAGAACCACCATTGGAAGAGATACCTTTTGTAAGGCTTCCATCTGCCCCTCTTCATACAGAAGAGATTCCAAAGCCAATTTGACATTTTCCACATCTTTTGTTCTAGCATCGAGCTCATTTTCTACAACAACCGCATCTTCACGTTTTGATAATAACTGATTTGCTTTCTCTTTCAGCTCTTTCTCAGAGTGGCTTATTTTTGTTTTCAGGAACTAGTTTGGGCTTGACACCAACTTTGTATTTTTCAATGGATAACAAACAAGTTATGATATTTCCTAAGAGTAATGCAGTTAACATCCCCACGTAGTTCATGTATTCACAACTTATAATTACTAAAATATTAAGTGTAGAACTCAAGCAAGCAAAATTATGTTGCACATTGCGGAATGGGAAAGCAAAGGGTGTGAGGGTTACAGTCACTGATTCACGTATCAACAGGCCATCAAATAATGACAACTGCAAACTCTTGACCATTATGTTTATGCAGGATAAATGACAAAGTTAAGAGACACACTTGCACACACTTTCCAAGTCCGTTGATTGTCGGACCATACTGACCATTTGTATCATTATAAATGGAGATTGATTACGAACCTTTCAATATGGAAACACGTGTCTTCGCATTAGAAATTGGAAATTTATGACCAAGCCAATGAAATTCTGTCATAGATGCAGCCTGCTGAGATCTTGCCTCAGCCATAACAGCCTGCAAATCGAGATAAAGCGAGACATGAGATAAATGGCAAGTAATGTAACAAAAGTCTGGAAATTCTTTTCCAATTTTACAGATAAGAAGCAAATATAATCTAACCACTATTAAAAAGGAGATGACCATAAATAGATCAGGATACAACATTATTCATAGCTTAACCTCTGAAACAACTAAACTTGCCTCTAGTTTAGCTTTGAAAAGATCAAGTGCAGGTCCTTCCATTTCACCAATGTGCATGAGTTCAGAAGTTTGTAAATTTGACTCACCAAGTTTGTGTAGACAGTACCGTATACTTGGTTCTAGTTCCTCAACACGCTCACGGTACAAAACCTGATTCTGTAGGTCCCCATATTTCCCGAGTTCCTCATAAACAGCCCTATTAGATAATGAAGTTAGCTACCATCCAAAAACGATACGACTAAAGGAGAGGAGAGAAATTCCTGATAGTAGAAACATTCTAGATAGCCAAATTAGAAAGGGAACAAAGATTTTGAAGAAGCCAAAAATGGAAAATGCACAAGGATATGCCAGTAAATTCAAAGAGCAAATTACTCCCAAAGAAGGCAGAAAGGAACCTTAATCAAAATTTCATACAGTGAGAGTTCATATCTAATAACCCACACCACTCTATGTAATAGATTCAACAAAAGAAAAATTCAAGGCCAAACCCATCTATCAAGCAAAGACACTGAAAATTAGAATAGAAAAGTAGGCATCTTTGGGAGTAATTTCATGTCCTTCAATACTTTGTATTTGAGTTATAGGATGTGTTGGGCAGGTTTGTTACAGGCTGGGTGTGTTTGGAAGCAAATGGTTACTGCCCAGAATTTTGGTCCTTCGCTCGAGCGAGCTCTGTGTTTTAGATCCTTCGCTCAAGCCAGGGTTCCTTCGCTCGAGCGAGAGTTGAGTTTTGTATCTGGTGGCTCGAGCGAGAAGTCCTTCGCTCGAGCTTGCGTCTACGTCTGGTTCTGGACCTGAAGGTTACAATTCTTCGCTCGAGCGAGCGAGGTGTATGTTTTGAGTTTCTTCGCTCGAGCGAGAATTTTGTCGCTTGAGCATGCTTCTGGGTTACAGACCTGAAGCTTCGCATTGTTGGCTCGAGCAAGGCTTTCTACGCTCGAGCAAGGGTTCTTTGTGTCTGGTCGCTCGAGCGAGCCTGTGTTATATCAGTAGACAGCAGCGGTTAAACACTTCACTTTTTCATCTCTTTTGGTTTCAAAACCCTAGATCCGACTCTCTCTCTCTCTCTCTACACACCTTCTCTCTAGGGATTGATCTACTTATAATGTGTTTCTACCCTAATCCCTTTGTAAGAAAGATAAAGGGTTGTTTGGGCTACGTTTTAATCTGAAAATTTATGGATTTGGAGCACTTTGGATTTTCACCATCTTCTCCTTTGGTCTCATCATTTCGAGGTAGGGATACCCTACTCCATCTTATGAGTTTTGTCTTTAATTTTGGGCATTTTGATTAGTTGGTGATGGTGGGTAATTTTGGAAAACGTTGGGGTTGTTGTGTAATTTATAAAAGAGGGGTTTTCAAATAATAAAACCCATATGTGTGTAAGACATTGAGAAATAGAATTATTGTTGTATTATTGATGAAAATGAATTCTCAAACCTGTTTGGGAGGAGATAGGGGATGGACTCCATTGATACAGCAAATATGTGTATCAGATTGAAGTGTTAATACAACAAATATGTGTATTGCATGGAAGTGATAATGAAGTGAATATGTGTATTATTTGAAGTATTGGAAGTGTTTTAATATGAGTTGCGATCTCATTTGAATTGTAAAGTATGGAAATGCTATAATCTGAGATATAGTCTCACTCAATGATTGGCCAGGTTTTGAGCCATGCTTATGAAATGATTGGGTTAAGTAAAGGAGAAATGAAATGTAACATGGACATGTTTGTCATGGAACTGTATGGTGATATAAACTGGTTATTAAGTATTAACCATCTACCAAATGATATTGTTTTAGTCATTGCTTATATTTGGTTTAGTATGTCTCTACTGGGTTGTGGCTCACCCTTTATGGGACATCATTTTCAGGTTCAAGTGATTTGCCACCTCCAAGGACATAGCTTGAGAGGTTCTAGGAGTTGAAGACTCTTTATTATTTTGTTATCTTTTGTTGTATTGCATGTACATTCAAGCCAAGGGCTTTATATGATATGAGTTAGTACTCTCTTTTGTGTAACCAAGTGTTGGCTTGGAAAGTTGTAAGCCGTTGGGCATTTTCTTTTATTGTCAACATGTAATACATTTGTAAGGAATACTCTGATGAATGGAATTAAGTTCTGTTTACTTATGTCTATACATGTCTATAATGTGGATTTCTAAGTATTATTTGGAGGGCGTTACACCCAAGACCATAATAGCAAAAACAAAATACGGTCAAGGTATGGCGTGAGTCAAGGACAAAATTCCATCTCAGAGGCATGACTTGATTGGGTCACAAAAATAGCTCCTGAAGTTAACTCTAGGGGTGTGTGCTCCATGCTGCGGATCATCTACATGTGCATACATAATATTAGGTGACCGAAGTTCAATGAATAATAATATAGTAAAGCAGTGTAAATAAATGATCATAACATTCTCACAATATCCATAATCATAAATTCAGAACGGCCTTAGGCCCAATCATATAACAAGCGGCCTTTGGCCCAATCATGTAACAAACTGTCTCGGGCCCATATTGCACATGTCATATAATATTAATGAAGTTCGTTCATTTCGATCAAATGATACATTTAAGTCTGATTCCAAATCACATTAAAGCTTGTTTCAAATCACATAGTATCAAATACTGCTTATCAAACCTTTCATAACTCCAAGTCGTAGCGGAGTACTCGAAGGCCTTAATTAACTTGCTGAATTATTATACAGGACAATCATCAAAGATTGACATCATACATAAAGTTTATATCGAATCATTAGCTTATACAAAACGTCTAAGACGGATCATAGACAAATAACAGTTACTGAGGGTCAAAGTACATTTTCCCAATTTATCATAATCATTGCTCAAAAGGAAACTCATTCATTCTTATCAAAACATTCTTTAGAAACTTGCCATAGCATAATTTCTTCGAAGATTTCAAGCATATTTTATCATTTCGAAAACACTCGTCAAGTCACATAATTTATACAAAGCATAAGTTTCACAATTGTAAAGTATTTCATATGAAAATACCGTTACAAAGAAATTATTCACAGTGCTTGGTCGGATGATACTTCTTAATGACTCAACCTGCAGAACCATAACCAAGCATAACATTTCAAAACACATTGTCTTCAATTCACTCAATTAATTTATTCATTACATAACCGTTCAATTGTTCCCCATTCTTTAATTCCTCTCAAGTGTTTAATGTTATACTTCTCTACATGTGAATCACGTACAAGGTATGTGTCAAAGATATACTTTAAACAACCCTAAGGCCTCGTTTGGGAAGGCTCTGTTTTAGCCAAAAAGCCAAAAAGTTACTAAATTAGCCAATTAGCCAATTAGTCATACCAAAAAGTCAAAAATTACGGCTTCTCTCTACTTTTTGCACAGCTTTTCGTGATTAGTCAAAAAGTCATCCCAAACATACAAGTTTTTTTTACCTACCTTTTTAGCCAATTAGCCAAAAAGTTACTAAATTAGCCTGTTCCCAAACGAGGCCTAAATGTTCATGACTTAAATTAATGTTTCCTACAACAATTTCATATGTTTTTCATTGAAAATATCATGTTTACATATTTAAGGTTTAAGGAAATAGCAAGAAGCGAAAGGAAACTAAGTTAGGGTAGGAAATGGCATGAAACGGTTAAAAGAAAATAAATAGCCTTCACTAATTTGAGCATATCTATTTGTGTACTTAGAATTTGGATATGAGACCACCACCATTAGAAATGAGACTTCGAGGGCTTGAATTTAGGCTCAATAATGGCTTAAAACGGAGTCCGGATGAAGGAGATATGCCTTTTTGCAATTGGGCTGAAATAGGGGTTCTACACGTGCAGAAGTCTTCACCGCTCGTGTGGCTCAAATCCGCTTGAGCAGAAACACTAGCTGCTTGAGCGCCCAGAGAGCAAAATGAAAACCTCTGTTTTTCTTCATGTTCCACTCGTGCGGAGCCCGTGGCCGCTCGTACGGTCTGGGAAAAATCAGACAGTCCGAAAAATGGTTCAAAGATGCAAACTTCCTAACCTCATTTCCAAGTCCAAATCAAAGCAAAACTCACTCAAAAACATGATATACTAGCATGATTCAGGTCTAATTCCACATTACACACATCAATCGTGCCTCACCATTAGATTCATGGTCTGAACTATTTCATATATTCATAAATTACATACACAAGCTCAATATACATACAACATGCTGGATCTTCCTACAAATCTTGATTGTATGAACCATCTAAGGTTTATTTCATGTATCAATCACAAGAATAAACTCAAATCAAATAAAAACGAAGAGATTTTATGATTTTATTTCAAACCCTTACACAACTCAAAACCCTAGCTCAAAATTCCCAATTTCTTCTTGATTTCCTGCCAAAGATGAGTTAGAGACAAAGATTATAAGTAGATTATCTTACCTTAGCTCAAGTCTAAGGTTTGCCCTTTGATTCTCTTCCAAAACCCTAGCTCTTCCTCTTCCTCTCTCTCTAACTCACTTTAGCAAGCTCTCAACCAAATGATGAACTCATGAGCCAAATACATTATAGATATAACTTAACTTATAAAACTTAATTAAAACATTACGAATCATAATTTTTTAAAATTTCACCGTAGGCTCTAAAAATCATGCTAAACACAAATATGAAGTCGATTTTGACTTATCGCACCTCTAAGGCTTTCAATTTCAGTTCAAAGTTGTAATTACAACAGATTTTCCTATATTCAATAGATATTATTCCAAATTCACATAATTCATATACTTAAACTTGCAAATTCATATCAAACACATAATCACATGCATAATTAAGTATAGTACGAGTTGGGTTATCACACCTACCAATGGGAGGGGTTACTAGTCCATGGGAATAATTAATCTCTTCACTCATGTCCTCAACCAAACACTCTATAGGTGTTAGTCCAATCTCCCTCTCCAACGAGCTAAACAAATATGCCCTAAGGATCAAAGTGGGGGGGGGGGAAAATTACTTCAAGGGCCAAAGTGGGAAAAAGATAGTACTTAAAGGGGCAATGTGTAATTTATCCAAAAATTTAAAACAAAATGAATTTGCATTTCGAATTAATAAATTAATATTTTTCAAAATAGTGAAGAAAAAAAAATGTGTTATACTTTTTAAGCGTATTTAAATTGAGTGGATCTAAAAATTGATTTTTTTTTTTTAGTATATTTGTTAGCATTTAGTGATTTTTAAATTTTTTTTTATTTTATATTTAT